CTGTCTTCTCATAGATCTTTATAAACATGTACATTCTGCTATTGCTATTAATGCCATTTTTGTAGTAACATGTTCCTCTCAGTGTCTTGAATACAATTGCTGGTTACAGTCCGTAAGATAAAGGTATATATACCTTTCTATACTTTTAAAAAGTTATGAACTGTTTTGATATAATGCATTGTTTTTTAAAAATTTCTTTATTATTTACTCTTCATTTTAGTATTAAACGTCATTTAAGTTCAAAAGTAGTGTTATCCATTAATTCACAAAAAATCCTTCGTTTTCTATGAAAAAATGTAACATAGCAGATTTTTATTTTCATCCTTAGCTTTTGAAGAAAGAAGATAAAACCGCTCCCCTTTATTCTGATGGCTTGGTAGAGGTAACTACATTAGATTGATAGATTAATATGGGAGTGAATGAGCCTTCACAGTTTTTTTCCTCTTTCATCGTAGATTTGTGTTTTTTTAAGAGCAAGTTATCAGTTTAATACCTCATCCTACTTATTTCCAAAATGGGACTATTAATAATATCTTCCTTTTAGAGTCAGTATGAGGTCATAGGAACTAACTCCTAAGAACATTTTGCATAAATCCTGTGTTACCTGCTGAATACTGACATGAATGTAAACTGTGGGAATCTTGTCAGTGCCCAAATGCATGGGTGCCCGTACAAGAGCATGTATATGTGTTAATTCTCAAAGTAAATTTTTTTTTTTTTTTTCCCGGAACCGGGGATTGAACTCAGGCCCTTGCGCTTGCCAGGGAAGCGCTTATTCCACTGAGCCATCTCCCCAGCCCTAAAAGTAAATTTTGGTATAATTCAGCTAAGTTTTATAATAAAGTCACTTACTGGGGCCAGGGAGATGGCTCAGTAGAATAAGTGCTTGCCTGGCAGTCGCAAGGCCCTGAGTTCAACCCCTGGTTCTGCCAAAAATAAAAAATAAAAATAAAAATAAAGTCACTTACTCTTTGGTATTGGGGATCAAACTCAGGACCTCATGCTTGCCAGGCAGGCACTGTGCCGCTGAGCTATATCCCTGGTCTGGTCACTTATAAATCATTGTGAAAGTTGACTTTTTTGAAGGGTAGTATGATCAATATGTGTATGACTTTAAAATTAAAAACAGGGGCCGGAGAGATGGCTCAGTAGGATAAGCGCTTGACTGGCAAATGCAAGGATCTGAGTTCAATCCCCGGTTCCACTAAATAAATAAATAAATAAATAAATAAATAAATAAAATTAAAAACATTTTCATTATTCCATTTGGAGTGTGTATTGGATGGAGCCATTTGCACTGATTGGATTGATCTGTAATGTGGGATAAAGTGAGAATGTAAGACCTCTGAAGTAGAATTTGGCTGTTTTTAATTCAGTATCATTAAATACAACATTCAGATTATCAAGTTCTTTTTTTCTTTAGGTACTAAGGGCTCATGCAAAGTTAACTACTTTTTATGGAGCATTTGGACCAGAAAATTTCAGGTACTTTCTGTTTTTAATTTTGAGACTATGAGTTAAATATAGGCTTAGAATGTTGTGAGAAGTGCAGCGTTCTTTTGGATGAGTTTTTCTTATTTTTTTTTTAAATGGTTTTATTATGCATTACCATTATCGAAAGCAAACTATACAAAAGTTTTATACAGATAAAAAAATCCTTGACACACAGTATTTTACATCATAATTATACATATTTACAAGTACACTATTTAAATTATTTTACAACTTACCAGAATGAGGCAATTATAAAAACATAAAAATGAATGAAAATGAACTAAACAAATGCTACAAACCTTTTAAAAAATCTAGAGAAAATTATTCCTTTGAAATATCAAAACTAAGGTTTCAATACTATGCCACTGTTGCTTTCATTTGGTAATAAGTTGTTTTTTTTTTAAATTTTTTTTTACATTTATTTGTGTGTGTGTGTGTGTGTGTGTGTGTGTGGCCAGCTCAGCCCACCAGGGGGCGGGGCTGGCTGGCCTGTGGTGCTGGGGGATTGAACTGCGGTCCCTGTGCTTTGCCAAACTTGTTCCAAGTAGGTGCTTTAGACCACTGAGTCATCTCACCAGCCCCAAATGGAATAAGGATTTTTTTTTTGCTCCAAATGCCCTCAGGGCTTGTTTGGCTGGCTTGAGAGTTGTGGGGATCGAACTAGAGCCACCTGCTGACAGCTTGGTGGAAGCAGCCACTTAAAGAGCTGAGCTAGGGCCAGGCCCCCGGTAATAAGTTCTAATGTTCAAAAATAAATATTTTGACCAGTAACAGGTAAACAAATCAGACTGATGACTGTTATGAACTAATATACTGATCTGAGATTAACAAGTAATGACAAATGTAGGTTGGCTATCACTGAATAATCAAAAGCTCAATAAAACCTCCCTCTAGGCCCATTTTAAACATGAGGAATTTGAAGCTTCTCTGTATCAATTAAAACTCCAAGGAATTCAGCCACTTAGCTGTAATGTAAGAAAATCCTAAAGTTATGATTCTATTAAGTTTGTCTTATTTGGATAGAAAGAGCTGAAATGGTCAAATGATGGAAAATGTTCTTTTAACAAAAGAAAGTTGGTATAAGGACCCTTTTTTTCCCCTTTTCCTCTTTTTTTCCCCTTGGTACTAGAAATAGAACTCAGGAACTTGCACTTGCTAGGCAATCCCTGGCCTTGAGCTCACTTTGTAGCCCAGGCTGGTTTGGAATTTGCAAGGATCTTCCTGCCTTGGTCTCCCAAGAGTGCTGGAATTACAGGCATGTGTCCTGTGCCTGGCTTTGTCATTTAAAAAATATCATACACAGGGACCTCTGTGTTAGTTAACTTTTCATCACTATAATAAAACCCACTTAAAGGAGAGGCTGGTTACCTCCCATGGTTCCAGATTTGAGACCCTGGATGCCAGGTTCCATTGTTTCTGGGCTGGGGCGTGGTAGACCCGGAAGCAGTGTGCTAGGGCCTGGCAGTTCCCTCCTGATAGGCTGGGAGGAAAGGTAGCCGCAGTGGGGAGGGTGGGGGTGGAGCAAGGTGGAGTCCCAAGGAAGCCCCGTGACCCACCCTCTTCCACTGGGCCTCGCATCCTGAGTTTCCTTCATTTCCCAGAAGTGCCTCAAAGGAATTGTCAGTGGATGAACCCACCGCCCTCATCACCCCATCCCTTGTATCCCTGGGCATTGCTGCAGTGGGGAGCACCCTTCGCCACATGAGTCTTCCAGGACACTTCTCCTCACTGTAATAATAGTGCTTTTTTTTTTTTTTTTTTTTTTTTTTTTTTTTTTATGAGCAGAATATATTTATTGAGAGAAAGAAAGCTCCTGTCCAAGAGAGGGATAGGAGGGGGGCCTGAGCGGGTAGTTCCCCAGTAGTGCATTTTTGAAAGTAAGATTTTTGGTGCATGTGGGAATATTCCTAAATTCAGTTACTATACATGTAGTTAAGACAAAATTTGTGTGCTTTGGAGTTTGTCCTTCAACTGTATTTGTTTGGGTAGAGTAGGAGAGTGCTTGCCCATTTTCTCATTCATGCACCAATAACTTGACATGAAAGTTTTTTTTTTTTTTCCCCCAGTACTGGGGATTGAGAAAGTTTCATTTTTGCTAATCTGATATGTGAAAAAAGTATTACAAAAATATTACTGCATTGAAAAAAAATATTACTGCACTGCTTTTTTTTTTTTTGTGGAACCAGGGATTGAACTCAGGCCCTTGCACTTACCAGGGAAGCACTTACTCCACTGAGCCATCTTCCTGGCCCCATGCACTGCTTCTTTAAAAAAAAATTTTTTTAATTGAAATTTGTTTAGGACTGGCCAGACAGTTCAGTGGATTAAAGCACCTCCTTAGGCAGAGCACAGTGGCTGGGTTGATCCTGAGGCATGCTGTGCCAGCCCCACCCCCAGAGCGCGCTGAGCCCCAGATTGAGACTGGGCATGGTGGCACAGTCCTGTAATCTCAGCGCTTGGGAAGCTGAAAACAGGAGAATCACTACGAGTCCGATCTGTATAGTGAGACCCTATAGACCCCGTAGACCTTACACTAAATATAAAAAAATTTGAGTCAGGCATGGTGGCCCACGCTTGTAACCCAGTACTCGGGAGGCTGGAGCAGGAGGACCATGACGAGTCCAAGACTAGCCTGGGCTGCAAAGTGAGCTCAAGGCCAGCCTTGACAAAAAAATGACCAAAAAAAAAAAAAAAGTTTTAAGACAGAGCTTGTTATGTAGTCCGTAGCAACTGGGTTAAGAATCAAAAGTCAGGATTTTTTTTGTCTTTTTGAGATGGACTTTCACTATGCAATTCAGGCTGGCCCTGAACTCACTTTGTATCCTGGGCTGGTCTTCCCTCACAGCAGCCCTCCGACCTCAGCCTCCCTAGTGTCAGCATGTGTGTGTCGCCACACCCAGCAGAAGAAACTTAAGAATCAAGATGAGCTGGGGATGTAGCTCAGTGGTACAGCACCTGCCTGGAAGCACAAGATCCTGAGTTTGAGGCCTGGTAACACCCCCATGAAAGAATCAAAGTGGAAGCTGTGCCACTGGGTGTCGTGGTGCATACCTTTGATCCCAGCACTGGGGAGACTGAGGCAGGAGGATTTCCGTGAGTTTCAAGGCAACCCTGCACTACATAGTGGGCTCCAGACCAGCCTGGGCTATGTAGTGAGACCTTGTCTCAAAACACACACACACACACACACACACACACACACACACACACACACACATTTTTTGCTATCAAAATCCTAGTTTTCAGCCAGGGTTGGTGGAGTAGACCTATAATCTCAGCTATTTGGGAGCCTAAGGCAGGGAAATCACCAAATTCAAAGTTAGCTTGGGCAACACTGGGAGACCCTGTCTCAAAATGAAAAATAAAAAGGGCTGGGGATGTAGCTGGATAGCACACTTGTCCAGCATGTGCAAGTCTTTGAGTTCAGTACCCGGTACTTCCAAAGTTAAAGTCTGTTTTTCTTTTCAGCATCCCTGGTCTTCATTTCTCTCTCTCTTTTTTTTTTTTAACTTATTTTTATAAGCCCTCTTGGTCTTTCAGATTTTTGCCTGTTTTGGCATCTTTCTCTTAATTTTGTTTCTGATAGTTTTTACAAAACATTTTTATTTTATAAGATATATTATTCATGATGCTAGCTAGAGATTATTTAGAAAGATGTCACCCACATGGAATATGTACTTGGCATGCCACGCAAGCGGTGGGCACTGTATGCTTTCCTCCTGGCTAGCCTGCTACCTCAGCGCTGTTGGTGAGCGATCCCTTTACCTCCTGATTGAAATGCTGCGCTGACCAGACACTGAAAATCTCACGTGTATTCAGACTAAATGATCTTATATCCTTATTATTTTTTTGAATGAATTTTAGGAACAAATGGAGGTTATGAGCAGAACGTATTTATTGAGTGAGAGAAAGCTCCTGTCCGAGAGAGGGACAGGAGGGGGGCCCCCTCAGTGGGTGGTCCCCGATCTTATATCCTTATGACCAGCATTGAATTGGTTTAACTAATGAACTCTGAAATGTTCTTTTATTAAGCTAGCCCTATCATCCCCCGCTCCCTTTTTGTGGTCCCATCTTCCCAGAGTTCTGGGATTATGCGTGTGCCAACACACCTGGCCTTTTCTTACTTTTTATGATTTTAGGGGTATTTTCTCTATTTTTCTTTTAACTTTATGACATGGAGAGTCAGTATCGCTGGATGTGGCGGCACAAGCTTGTAATCCTAGCACGCGGGAAGCTGAGGCAGAAAGATTTCTGCAGGTTTAAGACTAGCTTTAGTTCTAGGCCAGCCTGAATTATATAGTGAGACCCTGTCTCCGGAAACTAAAAGGAATCAGAATCAGCTTGCAGTCTGAACAGATTCTGTTATTACCGAGCCCAGCACTATACTGCCTCTGGGGTATCCCTGCCCTTTTTAAAATTTTCAATGCATTTGCTACGGGCTCTCACTACGCAGCTCGGATTCATAGTGGTTCTGCTTTCAGCCTCCCCAGTGCTGGGATTACAGGTGTGCACCACCACACCTGGACTTCTTTTTTTTTTTTTAATTTTGAGACAGGGTCTTGCTAGGTTGCCCAGGCTGACCTGAAACACGGGCTCCTCCTGCCTCAACCCCCTGAGTGCATGGGATACCATGTGTGAGTCGCTATACTCTGCTCTGTATAGATTTATTTATTTATTTATTTATTTATTTATTTATTTTTTGCAGAACC